ATTCTACCTGGCACACAAATGTCCCCAAGTGACGTCTTCTATCCCACTTTACAAAAGACAGCCATGCTGTCTCACAGATCTTTACAGGTCAGTCATTCCATTTCAAACACACCTTAGTATGATTGTAAACACTGATGGATCACTTGGTATGGCAGCCATTATCTAGCTTTTAGGAAGAGTACACTTTTTCTGTTCTCACAGGAGCATGGGAATATCCTGCCTGAGCAGTAAAAGCACTCCACAAGTTTCACAGGATCTAAAAAGGCAAATAAAATGCTCACATATACTCTAAGACAGGATCTTATAGACCAATGAGATATAGTACTACAAGGGCATACACCAATAATATTTTAGCACTATCATAAAACAGGGATATATAGGCATTGTTTTTTTTAAATTCCCTTTTTAGATTGCTCCATGAAGGTTATGCACCCCTACAACTCAAAGACAACATACTATACTACATGGCAATGGAGAAGGACAAATCCTAGAAATCTGACACTACAACCTCCGAAGATATGAGAGAACACTATCAGTGACTACACCAAATACTACCACACTTTACTAGGTGTGTACTCATAAAGTAATGCTCAAGAAGAAAATAATAAAAGACATCACTTGCAGTCATGGACATAACTTTTTTTCTTTTAAAAACTTTTTTAAGGTTCTCTGATAAAGCTACAGCTGCCCAAGGCACAGTTGATCAATCAATATATAATTACAAGCAGTCAATAAATAAGCAGTCACATCAACACACTCAAGGCAACAACTTCATAGAAATCTCACCTCTGTCATTATTCAATAAATAACACAACAGTTTTATTTACAGAGACAGAGACACCTGACTTGAAGTTAGTCATGTCAGTAGCATGGATCAGGGACAACTATACATTTAGTGATCAAATTCTTCATTTAAGCATCTTGAAATGGTCTACTTGGCGCTCCACCCTACCAGTGTTTCTAGCTCTAAGAATAACTGGTACTGTGGTGTGCAGGGGGATGTCGTACTAAGAAGTCAGAAGTGGCTCAGTGATATCAGTGTACACATAATCCACATAATCGACAAACAGCTAGTCAGGTGGTTATAACGCTGAGCTCTAAGCTTCCTTCGAAGTCGGAGTGCATCTGCCTGAAAGACAAGGAACCAGCAGTCTGCATACAAATGAGTAAGATCTGTAAAATTGATGCACAAGCAACAATCAGGTTCTGGAACAAATCTGCAGTCCAAAAGTGGATGAACAACCAGTACTTTCCACCAGAGCTGACAGCTGGTAACATGAAGAAGAAGAAGATGTGGGAGACCTAGGTTCAGTACTCAGTAAGAAATGGAGATATTTTTTTCCCAACTAATAAAATTACTGATCATGCACTCTTCAATGGTTTCTCAGCAAGGACAGGGGAAAAGTGATCTCTAGAACAGTCCTCTACGGAGAATGTAGATTAGTCATTGGCTGGAAGAAACTATCCATGTAAGCCTTACTCCAAAAGATATAAGCTTTTATCAGGGCTCACTCAAATGAGTTGAATGCAGATGACTTAATACTTCTAAAGCAATCATCAGGCAGCAATTTAATGAATGCCTGGGTACAGAAAGTTTTTTCTAAAAATAAAATGCTGTAGACAAGTCATGAATGTATACTCGCAAACAGCACACATGCAGATGACCAAAACATGAGGTGTTAAAATCTGCAACATTTAAAGCAAATACATACAACCCAAGGTAAACATGTAGTTAACAGATACAACCACATAAAGAACATACAACACACAAGGCTAAGCAACTTTAAAACAAAACACCCCAAGAAAGCAAATAGAAGATTCAATGCCTGGTTCACACTCTAGCAACAAAACACTTACTAAAAAGACAACCACACAGCTTTGTGTTTTCAAACAACCACATTACCCAGAATGCAAGTGGGCACCGAACAACCCCCCCCCCCCCCCAGCAGAATTAAATTTGACAACATAACAACCTTTAAATAACAGTAATACACAACCAGAGGCAAACACAACAGAACATAAAAGCAACACTGAATACAATAGCAAATGTATTCTAAAATGTCAAGCAAAACAGAACATTGAAACAACAGATATTAAGGACAAAAAATGAAAATTGATCTGCATGTACATGTTTTGCATTGATAATTTGCTTGCGTTTAGGCCACAATGATAGCCTGCTGCCTTGAGTAATGAAATTGGGAGAGGGCCCGCACACGGAAAAAAAAAGTACATATTCAAGAATTTGATAATTTAGGATGGTTTTATACAGATGAGGCTGGCATTCAAAGCAGGCATTCAAATAAATACATGCACACAATATCTCTTACTGTCAGCAGGCAACACGCATTCATCGGTAAAATGGTAATGATACGGTAAAACTGGGATTGGTAAAATGAACAAGTAATATTACAGCAAACCTATCAAGTCCAGTTAGCACACAGTACAACTTAAATACATCCAAACTGTCATAAATAACAGTAGTGTAACTAAAGAAGCACTTCAATAAATAGTGAATTAAATACATTTGTACAGCGCTATCTACATACATACATATATCTTACAATTCCATTGGTGCATGCTCAGATTAATTCTCCAAGGTGAACCTAGTAGTGTTTTGTTTATAAAGTTATGTTATCTGTGTTTGCTTTGTTTTCATGAAGTTAATTCAACACCACTGCTCTTTCTGTTTATAATTCACTTTAATGGTTGTTTTTTTTCTGCGCCAAATGTTAATTTAACATTTTGTTTTTAAGAAATTAATTTAATAGTATGTTTCCCTTGCTTACTACTTAAATTTAACAATGAGTATTTATGTTACTTTTACTTTGTGTGTTTTAAATCTTTTGGAAGCTACCATGGTGTAGTGACTAGATGATCGCCTGCAGTTCAAAAGTCATGGGTTTGGGTTCTGACAAGGTGGCCAGTAATGTACCTACCAAGTGTTGATTGGCCTATAAAGTACAGGTCTAGCCCTATATGCCTGAAGCTGTGAAAAAAGGCTTCTTCATTTCGTTAAGAAGAGGCTAAACAAAATTTGTTCTCCCCATTAGGCATGACTGCTGGGTATCTGGCTTGTTAACAAATCTTCACTGACTCAAGACATAACCATGCTAACTAGTGCCACTATTGCTGCGGTGCGATGCATAGTTCACACACGCCTGCCATAAATGACTATGATCTCATCACAATTTTTTTTAACCCGCCACTGCTGGGTATTTTATTTACATTTTCAAATTTGGTTTGTCCATTTTCACTTTATTGGTGAAGGTATTCTAGCTACATTGTTAATGTGTCATTCACCACTGCCTTGTGTTAAGCAACTGACTTGCTCTATCTCCTGTCTTTAAGAGTGATATTTGTCACGGAACTCTTTATGCTTGTGAAGGTCATCATTATTTTTTAGGTTATGGCTGCCGATTTGTCATTTTAGCAAATGTACTTTGAACAGCACTTTATTTAGAGTTACTAGTGACCAGTATAAAAGTTGTAATTCACAACGCTGTTAAAATATCTGTGATACCATAAGCTTCTAACTGTGTGAAAAAAAGCACCATAAATCACTTTAAATCTGCAGCAGCATCTATACTTTTGTTTTCAATTATATGATTAGCACATGACTGTTTGGAAATGTGTGTTAATTGTCCTCGCTTACTGTCTTAGAACTAAGATGTCAGCTCAAAAGTTATCATGAATAATTCAATGGATACATTAGTCAGGGATGTGGCAAAAGGCATTAAACATAACAAGAATAAAAGTAACAAGAAAAACTGATGGAAGAATGGCCTGGAATGATTGTTTTCTTCTGATTTTAAGTGAACTGACAGGAAATGAATGAACGAACAAAGAACAGGCATTATGAACTAAATTTATGAGTATGTAATTTAAATGAGAAATGTAGCAACATTGATGAGAAACTGAAATAAACCCACAAAATGAATGATGGACACGATTAATAATGTGGTGAAGAGTAAATACAGGGCGACCATCCTAAGGGGGCGATGACTAGACTAGTAATTTGATCTGAAGTTATTTTATTCGGAGAAAGCAAAATATTCAAATATGAAAAACACTGAAAAGAAAGCAAACATGTTGTGATTAGATGTTCAAAAAAAAAGCAGATTCCATCAAATCTGTGCATAGTTCGGTTTGAGAGAAAAAGAAAAAACATGCAATTGAAATCTAATGTTGAACTGCTAAATCAAGCTGGTATCTTCCCTTCGATGTTTGTACTTTACCTTTCAAATGAACGTTTAATATGCATAATAGATGCTGATTCTTTTAATACTGTTGGACAGATGAACTTAGCGCACAGTAAACACCTCACCAGACAAAAGCCAGTTGGGAATGAATAGGTTGTTTGTTTAGATTTGTTTTTCTCATTTGTGTAATAATTATTAAAATTGAGCAAACTGGTATTAATTTGAACATGGAAAGATCTAGAAATGTTTGGCTGGAAGGATGCAGGCAATACCACCACCAGACGCAGGAGCCATGGCAACATACTGCTTCTCCCGAACATACAACTACCATGTCTATCTAGACGGTAAGAGAAACTGCATAAAGTTCTAATTGGACTCCATGAGAGTAGTGGAGCAGCTCTAACAGCATCCCAGTAGCAGTCATGTCCCAAAAGAAATTCCATGGTCTTCGGATGCTAATGATTGCCGTGACTGATCCAGTCTGGTTTTGGGGTAGTTTGCAGGCTGGTTGAGATTCACAGGTGAATCTTGCTAGTGCTGTATATGGTCCTGAGCTGGATCAAGTGGGTATTGCTTGCAGGCAGTTGACATGAAGCTACTAGCTTGTATACTGGAAAGAGTCCAGGATGGCCAATCGTGTCATAGAGGAATGCTGGAGCTTTGATGGTGTGGAACTGAGTCTCACTTCATGCTCGCTTCGCCCACTAGATGTGTGGTGGCTTTTGGTAGCCAATGTCCTCGGGGCCGGCCAACTATTTGAGTGTCTCCCAACACTGGATATTTCTACAAAAGTCGCAGCCATCATAGACTTTCACCGCTGCTTAACAGAGCAATGTCCACATTTTTTACCAATGCTGTTGTTCTCTTTCGGTTTTCAGGAATTGGAACTGGAAGAGGAACTTTAGTCATCCAAGGATGCTGAATGATCTGTTCTAGGGTTGGTCTTTGGTTGGGATCAATGGAAAGGCACTTGCGAATCAGATCTTTGCAATCTAGACAAAGAAAAGAAATGGAATTGGTTAGAACACTAATCCAACAATAATACTTTACTATTCATTTAACTTCCTACTTTAGTCTCTTAACAATGGGTGATGTCTCAAGATTACAGATGATATGCAGGCTAACTAGATGTGGTTTAAGCAGGTTCATCAGTCTTTAAGTGACCACCAATCAACCAAATGTGATGTAGTAAACATTTGGATCTCTGGTCAAATTATAGGATCACCTATCAATTATAACATGATATACAAAAATAGTGTTTAATACAGCAATATTTCCTTCAGTTCCTACTTATTTTATATATCAAGAATGAACTATAACTGAACTACATGCTCATTTTTTATTTTTTTTACCACAATAGGGCCAAGGAACCCACGCAGGAAAAATTACATAACACATAATGCTATTAGAATGAATCAAAAGGAACTTACTTAGGGTTAGATTTGCCTTGTAGTGAAGCTGGGCGGCTTTGATCTGCTCATCCTGTTCAAAGGGAATGTCACCATTGACAAGATCAAAGAGGAGTATTCCTAGAGACCAAACTGTGGCCTGCCGCCCATTGTAGAGCCGATTGCAGATCCATTCTGGAGGACTGTATACACGTGTCCCTGAAAGACATGAGATTGATGCATTGATGAGTAACAAGGCTTAAAAATCTTCTTAGCAAAACTGCACAATACACAACATTAGACTAAAAATTACTGCATTCAAGAAAAATGGAAAGGTGAATGAGATGAGAGGCATCGATGACAAAAGAAGAAAAACACTGGGTAAGAGAAGGAAAGTAGCATTTACTCTGAACTGACCCCATAATTGATTTTATGTTAGTATTTCAGGTGCACTAAAATACGTCCAGAAATTTAACAGACCAGAAGACAACTCCAGAAAAGGCGAGCTGTATGCATCAGTGGTGCATCAAAGGGGAAACCAATCAATCATGCATGAAGAGCAATCGCATAAACAACCCGCCTGGAAAGTCAAGACAAAATACACTTCAAACATAGGACCGTCTGAGGGCGGAAGGCGTGAAAAGACTAGATAAGACATTAAGTGGTGTGCTTTGAGAAGGCGGCCTGGTGTTTTGCGGTAGACGTAATGATGGCGCCTGAAGCATCACCACCAAAACCCCTCCAACTGTTACTTAGTTATTGGGACAGAATCCTCTGGGACCAGTATATCCTGAATTGCCAGTCCACGGACCAAATTTAATGGGCCCGTGGTGTGTTTTGTAAAAACATTTCATTGTAAAATACAATCCTTTTTGCGACTCTAATATAAATTATAATAGATTCTTCTGTGGGACTATTAGAAAATATGGCATTCTGTGGCAGACTGTCGGAAAAAAAGGGGTCTTAGCTCATTGGGAACCTCTGGATCCACGGGGTCTAAATACTCGACACCTAACGTGACCTGTGTAACCCCCTCAGGGACAACTATCTGAAGTTTTGACACTACATTTTGGATATTAAACCAACCGGAACAGATCTCAGATACCCACTTTAATCGTATAAAATGTTTATAATCGGGGACATTAAGGTCACATTAAGCAGGACTTTGTTATACCCTCCAGTCTGCAGCTATTCGAGACCGCCATCCTTTAGTGCAGTTAGTTTATGGCAATTCGCATACTTCCATATATCTGTACAAGTGATTCTAGCAATCTGTCGACTGCTGACTGACTGAATTTCTACCCGACAAGGACATCACAAAGCGATAAACACCCGATGACACAAAGTGTCGCCATTCTTATGAGGTTTACCCGTGTAGCGGTCCGAGAAACCCCGTTCAACCGTTAGGTTATATTTGGGCGCCCGGCAACATCCAGGGTGGGGCTTCGAAATAACCACAAATTCATCCCACATGGGGACGGAAGTATTGCCTACTGCTAAACAGCAGTTTCGTTTTGTCTAGTGTGAACAAATCTGATTGTGAGAGACGGGTCATTAAAATGTGCCCCTACACCTGGGTTGTGTGAAGTGGCGGTCGGATATATGCCGAGTGTCTGCTCGTGCGCTACAGATAAAGCGCGTAGGCGGCCGGTCCTGTTTGGTAACTAGGGTCCCGAACATGTGACAGGGATCTACATGCCAAACACGTATCGTCCACGAACCACTATATACTTTGCAGTGTCACTAATCGAGTGTCGTCTTCACTCTAAAGGATGACTGCAGTTGATATCTAACAGTGTCTCCGGTGGTACAAGTCAGACACACCTATATTCACACCTCACCTGGTACGGCTGGCTATCTCTTGTTTATCTATTGATTCACCCGGAAATATGAAAGTACGTATGGGTCAATGAAGCCCAAATATACAACTATTTCCTTTTCATTCTTCTATTGGGGTGGAGGTGATTCGGTTATCTTATAGCTACTGCCGTGCAAATGAGTTTTAGTATTATTTATGTAATGAATTCCAAGCATGTGGTTTTTGTTAATGCAAATGTGCAACAAATAATGTTAACAGTCAAAATGAGTTCATTCTGGACGAAACTCGAGTGGAATGTTCCTAGATAATGGACGGTCACCATAGTTTCACACATCACAGACATCGTGTGTGCTCCAGGAAAACGGGCCATTAAAATCCCAGACGTCTGTCTAGCGCCAACACCAGAAAGAGGCAGAGGGCAAAGAACCTTTCCCAAAGTCGCAGTGAACTGTTCCGTGATCGAGCGATCAATATTTGCTGGGGACAAGTAGCGGGGAGAGAGGGTCACAGCTAGAGTGCAGAAAAGTCGGAGTGATGCGAACAAACGTGGCGCGATTTTGGCAGGCAAGGCTAGACGAAAATCTTGACCACCACCCCCCCCCCCCCCCACTTCCCTCAAGACAACTTTCTTAGACAGTCAGAGCTCATAATCATATTGCCATTCCTCCTTTCCCGACGAGATGCTGTTTCCGTGCACTAACTGCAGATGAACCGCCCTTCCCCGTCCTCTTGAGGGGCAGTATGGAGGAAGCTTTATTTAAAAAACGGTATTTGTCCCAAGAGATCAATATCGTTCGGGCCCTACATCGCACGTTTCCCGGCATTTCAAATTACAGAAATAAAAACGGCATTTCCCATCCCGGAGAAAACTCCAGGCAGGTCGAAGTAATAAAGCAGCGTTGGATTTCGCTCGGTCTATCAGCAGCCGAGAACAGTCGTGGACGCGGCAGTGCCCAACTGTAGGACAGAAATAGCAGAAAAACGTATAACAGCATGCTGTGCGTGCTTCTAGAACTGCTGGCTGGAACCTGCTTTATATGATGTAACAGAGCACATAATCTTTGGCAGCGGAGGGAGGGGAAATGAAGCCCGACATTAACCTACTGACCTAAATAATTCCGGTATGATGCCGGAGACTAGTTTTCCTTGTGATCACGATACTGCACACTGGAGCAAAGGGATTAAAAAACGATTACTCGTGTTGGCTATCAGTTTAATTCAAATACAAACTGTATCTCATGAGTATTGCGAAACGTCTGCAACGACAGTAAAACAAGTAGATTTAGAGTGGTTAGTCTATGTGGTTGTGTGACAGGAGACGTAATATAACAAGCGACTGTTTACTAGTCCTAGACTGTTTTTATGTCTAATAATGTGCAGATGTTTCGCAGATGTTGTGGTGCATAGTTCGAACACCGTATAAACACATTATATAGACACGTTTTTTAAAAAAATGTGGTTGAAATTGTTCTCCGAAGTCTTCACCGTACCTCCTGTCATTGACCATCTTCTCATACAATCTTTAAGGTGCTGTCTTGTCCACTGGATGAGGCATTCTATAAGAGTTGGCTGGAGAAAGCTTCAGTTGTAACAACACCAGATGTACATCACAGTGACTAGGATACAAGACCTACTACTCTACAGACGCCTGTCTCTAACAACATTGTAAACAAGGATAAATCCGGCTCTGTGACAGACACGGGAGGAGAACAGTTACCTAAGAGAATTGACAGAAAAAACTTACAGCATCTTAAAACCCGACACGCCTTGCACACGTTGCCAACTGAGAAGGATTACAGGAATGTTCGAAAGAATACAAAGAGAAATAGAAAATATAAGAGTACAGCAAAACGAAGGTGGCAGGAGAATAGATAAGACACGAAGCTAACAGCTTGGTCGTTTTTCTTTTCGGACGGTCTTCCTCGGTGCGCAAGCGCCGTCAGAAAGAAGTGACTTGCATTCTTGGGGAAAACTCCAAGGTGAAAGAAAATTAGCTTCAATGAAATGAGGTCACCACAATGTCATGGCAAGCCGTTAAAGTTGGGGCGAAAACTAGTGCATATGTTCCGATAGGGAGAAAAATGTGCCGGCAGCAGTATCTGAAATATCTGCACAATTCGCGTACGAATGTGGGGTCGTAAGCCTAGGAAAGGTTACTGAACCTTGCACATGATTGAATACACAAGTGTGGGGTGGAAGGGGTCATCAGAATCATTGGGGCAACGGCTGGGGATTAGGCAGCAAAATGTACATGTACACACGGCAGCAACGTGACCAAATAATGTAGATGATTTGGGTATGTACATGTACACATAGGGGTCGTAATACAGAACTGCCTTTAAACAAAGGTGTTGAATCTAGCAAACTTTGGCATACGCATCGGTAATACAGAAGGGCGTGGGTTCAAATCTTCTTCAGCACAAATACATGAACAACTTCTTTATATACAAATAGAGTATTGTGGTTGGGGGAGGAGGGGGCGCGACAGGTAAACGTTATAACTTTTAAATCGATGATAAAAAAAGTAATTACTGACTATAATTTTAAGATGATGTCAGCAAGAACTGTGTGGAATGGAATTTTTAAGTTTGTCCCCTACAACAGCAGAAATGCCAGTCACCGTAAACAGAACCCGAGTCTCTGGCATAAAAATCCAGCGTCTCAACCCTTCGACCAGCCGCCCCTGTAAAAATTAAACGCGGCAGGGGAAGCACACATGTGGAACTAACAAAGACAAAACTCTTTAGCGGAAATATGCGCGTTCATACAACAGGGGTAAACAGGAGTGGTCAAAGTCCGAGGGGGTAGTACTCTACGTATAATGACCAGTTCCTGTTCCTTTATGCGCGGGGATTTTCTTAGTCCCGCGGGCAGTGACCCTCGGCGACAGCTCGTCTCCGGACAACGCCCTCATAAATCATCTTTCAAACTATCCCCTTGACCCCCTCTTTTTTTTTTTTTTTTTACTTCCTAGTACCGACCTCACTCAACCGGCGGATACAAAGTGTGAAGTTTGTGAATGAAGCTCGTTTAGGGACCGTGTGCACGCTAAGACGATTGACGGCAATTTCTGGGTGTTCACAATTTTTTTAAAATATTGCAGTTTTGTCACCTCATATGAGTATGTCATCGATTCAGTATGTGCCAAAGCACAATAATGCGTATCCTTGCTGCAGTTTTTGTGATAATATCTTCATAACAATATAGTCGCTGCCACATTAAAAAGTTAAAATTCTTGCGAATATCTAGTGATTCGTAAAGGAATGGAATACAAAAGGCGTTGCCATTACTTTGTAGCTGTAAGGTTGAGATTCCCCAATTGACTTGCCAGATCCGAAAACAGGGACGCCTCAAGACAAGCACGCCCGAACGCATACCTTTCAGGAATCTTGAGTAGTTCAGATCATGTAGCACGTACCTTTTCCACCTTACTTCAGTCTCCTCACTTTCCGCGTGGGCTACCTTTTACCTTTCTTGGCATTCTGCCGACAGCGTGTGCCTCTCTGCAGACTGTGCTACTCCAGGTCCCGTCTGCACTTATGGAGAACCAATTGTCTAGCCTGAAGCCTCCTCCTGCCATTAGCACACGGCAGATTACAGGGTTGCAGCCCCGCAACGCCCCTAGCTCGCGATGCAGACATTACGTCATCAGTCTTATGTCTGAGCCCTCTTGTCGTTACTTATGCCTTGGCGTATCTCCTCTTTGCTCAGGTAACAGCACTCCGGTGGTAACGTCTTCTCCCGCCTCCCCACAACCTCTTGTCTCTACTTCCTGGTTTTTCCAGTTATGACTCACCGCCATAATTCGCGTTAGGTGATCGGCTCTGGCACACAAGAGCTGGTTGTCGCGTGCCATACTATTTACAATCTACGATAAAACTAAAAATAGCCAAACTATGCCCAGTGATCTTAAAGACAGACTAGAAATGAACAAACTAAACACGAAGCTCAATGGAATGGAAAATACAAATGCGGGAAAATAAAACTGAAAGTTTCCACACTTTCATCAGCAGCTAAAAAAAACTCCAAAAGACAGGCAAAGAAGTTGTGAAGATGAACAACAGCCATAATAGAACCCAGTCTGCTGTATTATAGGTAATGTTTCAAACACAACAACAAAAATGCTGACATCCAAAGCAGACAATAACCAAGAGAGATCAATAATAACAAAACCTACACAACTTTTATTGATATCGGTGTTCAAAAACATCTTAGATGTAGCTTCCCACTCATGGCTACAGGGATCTCAAAACATTTTGAAATAGTGCAGTAACATTTCTCAAAATGTTTGTAACATTACGGTAATTTCGTACATAGGATGAAGATTTAGACTAGCACTTTCCAAATATCATTCATCAATACTGCTGACAGCGAAATCTTCCGATAACCGAATGCCATCTAAACATTTTCTTTAAATATAATGCGTGTCACCCATTTTCCAAGGCAACTTGTAACCCAGAAATAGAACAAATAAAGCACCCGAACCTGTCCTTGTGAGCAGAATCATAGTGTTTACTCAAAGAGTAGACAGGGCTTGAGGAAACTGCAGCTGGATCGTTCAACTTGAGCACTAGACGAGACAGACAGCGCGGAGAATGGAGATCAACAATATTTGGTTCCGCGTTTTCATAGCTGCGGCGTGGATTTATTTGAGATTCTTCACTTTAAACTACTTAACCCACTGAATGTCAAAATATGGCGTACATTGCGCAAGCTTCTAAATGTTTTCGACGCAAGCCGATTATGACAAACCACACACACATTGCCAGGATCGTACTACAGCTGCAGGGCATGCCGCCATTAACGATTGCCGCAATCGATCTCGCCATATTTCACCGACCCAAAACACTATGCATTGCGCCATGTGTTTTACAGTTTAAACAATAAAGTCATAGTATGCGGAGGTACTTGGTGCAACATGGGCAATTAGGTCAGTGCTTTTCTTATCCTACCTTTAAGGAAATGCTACAAATACCGAATAATTTTTAATAACTGTGAAAGCGAATGTAATGGTGCTTGACATAGTGAGCAACGTGGCAAGTTTAAAATATATCACAGCTTTAATTTGTAAAACCATGACTAAAATACATTTGCCAAATACTCACACAGCGCACTTAAAGACATAAAGATTGTGAAAATCATTGCAGAAATAAGTACAGAACTGTAAAATCAGATAAACATATCTATACATTTGAGAAAAAGATTGCTGATTCAGTAGACCCCTGTTGACATGTTAGTATGCCAGACAATTATAAGTATGCAATGCCATCAACCAAAATAAAGAATGGGCGATATGCCAAAAAGGAGGAGGAATTACAAACTCATCCAAAACCAATCAGGTTGGCTTATGCGGCAGAATTTTTATTAAATGCGGTGCTGAATAGCTAATGATATTTGTGGTGGATAGCTGGTGATATGTTTCCCTTTAAGGACTTAAAACCATTGGCTGAACGGTTAAAATTCACTAAAAGAAACAATATGTACCGACGAACACTCTGAAGCAAGCAGGTATCAAGGACATCAGGTGACCAACGAACATGAAGCAGCTGTCACACACAAGCAAACACCTAGCAGCTGTCACAAACCAACAAACAAGCAGCTGCTGTCACACACCAACGACAACACTACCTACCATCAAAATCATCGTAGTCAGTATCTCTCAAGACTGTTCCAGAACCGAAGTCAATCAGCTTCAGCTGTCCCGATTTCATGTCAACCAGAACGTTTTCGTCTTTAATGTCTCTATGGAGGACACCACACTTCTCGATATTCTGCACCATCTGGACGATCTGTGTAAAGAACATGCGGGCATCATTCTCGTCAAGCGGGCCGTGCTCGGTGATGTAATCAAACAAGTCTTTGACGTTCTCTGGTTTTTCCATGATAATGACGAAGCTGTCGACACGTTCGAAGGTGTCAATCAGTTTAATGACACCTGTGACGTGTTGGACGCGGTGGAGAAGGTGAAGCTCCAGGGGGACCTGCATCCCATTGGGCTAGAATAGGCACACAAAAAGGAAACAGGTTAACTTCAGGTGTAATCGCTAAAGGATTGTCAATACTAGAAATCTGACACAGGATACATGTCAGCACAAGCCTAAATATTCGACAAGTTGTGATCGTATAAAAATGGCCATCGAGTTTCTAAGCAAGATCCGAGTACTGCGGAAACATTCAAATTTGTCCATAGCTGAGCAAATGTAGACTAACTGAAGTAAAGTTTCGAAAAAGCAATAACATCTTGGTGTAGGCTGATTGTTCCTGACGACTTCTCGCTTATGGCTTGGGACAAAGCAAGGTGAGACCCCAACTATGCAACTGGTGACAATGAATTTAGGGACATAATCGTGTGTGTGGCTTAACCATCTGGCTTGCAGAAAGAACTAATATCTATATTCTCCTACCTCTGTTGGGAATGACCGAGATTCTGTTGGCGTCATTATTTTACTATAGTCGGAATTTATCAAGACCTATTCTCACCATTCACATGAACCGATTTAATTTTTTTTAACTACTTCTAACAAACGTAGTTCGCGTTATAATAAATGCACCGGCTGATAAGACAGTATAAAGTTCACAACACCAGTAACTAGACCAGGCTGGCCTACATAAGTAACCTATAGAATTCGGGTCAGGAATGTACGGGAGGACACTCACATGACCAGAAGTAACGAAACAGTAAAACTAGAGATATCGCACTCTTGCTTGATACCCTCGGTGTCTTTTTTTTTTTTTTTTGGCTACTGTGTACATGACGATAGGATAGGTGAAAGTTCGGGAACTCACAGGCGTATCCATTTGTTATCTAATCTCGGTTAGCCTTTGAAACAATAACGGAGATAATCTGTAATCTTTACTTCGGCGCCACGATCCTCCTGTCACCATCGGTAACCTACAAGTCGTCAATACTATCTCTGTACCTAAATAAAGTACGATGTATGCACTACACTACACCAAATTGTCTGTGCGAAACGACAAACTTTGCGCTGGGTGACTGTTTTAAATGATTTTATGTTCTGCGCTTTCATACAGTGAATTATATTTGTATAACCAATCCCGTTTTGGTGCTTACATTTTAAATGTATGTACAAGATATCGCTTGCTTTGTGGTGTTTTATCCTTTAAGTGGGACGCTGCAGAACCAAACCTAGCATTTGGGAGGGGGGGGGGGGCTGTTTGTGATTTTACTGAACAATTTCATGTTTAGTAGTTAACCACTGCACACTTAACGGGGTCGGCGCTACATATTACTGTCAAAATCAATGCAACGTAGTATGGTAGCAATTCTCTTACAACTGGAGCCGAACCCGAAATTTCGGAATCAGCAAGCGCATTCGCAACGCCCAAGCCACAGATGCTGGCGATCTTTGCTTACACTGGACGTTTTTATGAGAGGTGGGGTGATCGTATTAAACCATCTCAACAACGCGGCAATGAAACTTGCGCATTAACATACTTAAAAAATCTCTTTCACAAGGCGGCGGCAAGTGTCCCACCGATCATTTACCAGCACATAATAATAGCAAGGCCGGAGTAAATGGAAAGTTATGCGCAAGGGGAAAAAAAGATTTAAGTTATCTTAACTGTTGATAGTTGGTGAATTCCTGTGAAACATTCAAGCTATAGGAATACTGGAATTCTTGATGGAGGCAAGGCATACAACACTGAGTAAACGCTAAATGGGCCGGCAGTTAACACTAGTGTGACCTCTAGCCGGTACGAACCGAAAGCCAGGCACGGACCAGTCCCAGAAGGTTGAGAGGGCAGAGTTCATGCTGTGGTATGCGGGGTTGCGTCCCCTCCACAGACGTCATCGTGGCAATTTGCAACCTTCTTTTGCAACCAAGCTGACTGAATATATAACTTTGCAGGCATATGAGGCAGGAAATACTGTTACAAACCAATTAGCACTGGGTTAATAATGTAGTCAACATCGCACGGCCGCTTTCACTTCCTCATGATTTTACCAGGCGCCCATTTCAGGCTGTGTCGACCCGGGAGCCAAGGTGATTTGTGAAAATAACGAGACTTTGGTGCGGATTCAAAGAATATATAAATATGCAAATTTTTCATGTTTTTTTATTTTTATTTTTGGTCTTGTATACTTTGTTGGACCCTACATGCTCGCTTTTTAAAGATTTAGCTTAAATATCGCACCCAGTTCAACTGGGATCACTGGGAAAAATTACGAGTAGGGCGGCCATAATTGTTATGATGCTACTCTCACACCAGTCCGAAAGCTGTGAGGGCGTTTTTTTTTTTTTTTCTAAACTGCCCGCCAGGGAAATCTAATCTTAGAAAGCATATTATTCTGAAATGCGTTCATTAGCTTCTAAACCACACATGGGGATTGTCATCGGAGCTACAAAGTTCGTGCTGTGTGTGATGCTCTCAAAATGTGTTAGAGAGACCGAACCATACGGAATAAAACCCGGTGCAACATGGTATGTTCTCTCGACTTCAGGAGCCAAACGGCTGCTTTTCGACAAAACCCGTCTTATTCTGGTTTTATTGCCCCAACAACACTTGGTGAAATCAAAACAGCTGGAGCTATGATTTAATGTGTGGGCCCGTTGATGTCGTGAAAATAATTGCACTGCAGGTTGTCATATCGTGACTGACCGAGAGTGTGTTGTAAATGTTCGACGCAAGCTGCCCGGGTCAAGAGCTGGTTGTAGACAGACTTCAGATGACAAGACCTAGAGAAGCGGGTTGTAGAAAGGTTCAAACATGACCGCATGGGTCGGTTTCTCTCTAAGAATGTGGTATGCAGCCTGCTGATAGTTTCACAAAGCACGAACTCTAGCGTCAGCGACGATCATTTTGGATCTCTGTGAAAATGGCACCTAAGAACCGGATGACGAGTCGATGAGGCGAACTTCCTCCACCTTCAGGAGTTAGTGTACGGGTTTGTGCATCTTATGTTTACTGTCTACAAATTACACGAAACCACACTTTAATAAAGTAGCATTAATCATCAAGTTTGTGACCTGGGAACTACCCAGCCAAACGTTGTATAATATGCAAAGCCTCTGTTAAGACCTTATCGCAACGACCCATTCAGTTATGTAGACAAGTTAAATTGTTCTCTAGCCGGCCCAGCACCTGACACTGGTCTATGGGAACCGCTTGATTCACCAGCCACCTAGAGGCCGTTCATGGACAGCGTGGGAACAAACCCGTGTGAACTATATCCCTCTCACAAAGCCACATTCTGTAGTCTCCGGGTTTCGGCCCTTCTAAAAAAACTCGCAATAAAAAATTAAGAGGGGTGGGGGGGGGGGGGGGGGGGGGTTGTGGACACACAAAAAGAGAAGAAAGGGGGGTGGGTGGTTGTTAGGGCGCCCCAAATATTGCAATTCGTTCTTTAGCGTTACTGTGTGAGAGTATAGACACATCAAGTACAGTATCGTATCTGCAGTGGCGGGGTGGTTTATCTGTGCGGTCTTTCAACTAAAGTTTTCTCAGGGACCTAAATCTTGAAAGTGGAGATCGGCACATGCCAGAGGTCTGAGACTCCACAAAGAAAAATCATGAAAATAAGACAACTGGTAATGATTCGCCCGCCACTTGCTAGGGCTTTGCCGGCCGGAGTCGGTGACCCGCCAGTTAAATATCCAAAATCTAGATCTTTTTCTGCGCGCCTTTTCGAAGTTGTGGATTACAGCTCGGCTTTCAGCCGTTGTACTGTTCAGCAGAACATATCTAACTTTAGCAAATTCTTAGTAGGCTTTTGCCATGCTTGTTAAGACACTGAAGGCCTACCCCTTCTGCATAACGGCTCCTTGAACACACACGGTGTAACATGTACATTTAGATAGTAGAAATAAACAAAAGCAGGAACTAGAAATAGCTAACAGAAGAGAAGTTATATATTTACAGAGGACAGACGAGTTCATTCACAAACTAGAGTAGGGTTAAAGAAAACAAAAATGCTCATAAAATTACCACAGGTGTCAAAACAGAATTTACGAACTGAAGAAACTAGTTAGGATTATTTGGAGACAAACAGGATTGTTCACATCTTGACTCACCAATTTTGTCCATGAAGAAACTTTACTCTTCTGAATATGTTTCACTGCCACCTGAAACACACAAGTTTTCATTAGTACTATGTATGCTGGTGCATATTTATGTATTGCAATGTATTACTCCACTTACCTACAAAACAAATCCATCATTCTGCATACGCAAAGCTACATATTTTTCACTGTTACAAACGTTATCACCATTCTTTGTATTACCAGTAACATATCCAAATCTAGACAGGCAGATATCCCAGTGTCAGTTCAAAAGCATCCACGATTTTAAAAAACAGGCTTATTTTAAAGATATATAGACAGATCTCTACAGATGAAAAAAGTATTTAAAGACATCTAAAATGCTGAAGAAAAAAACATTTATAATTTTTGAAGTAAAAGAGATGTTAGCAGACTATTTCTAGACACATGAGAAAAATCCCTACCTGCAGTCCATCCCTGCGCCTGAACCCTGAATAAACTGTTCCAAATCCACCGGATCCTAGAATATTTTCAACCTCGTAATAATTTTCCAACTTTTCACTGTCCCTGAAACCTGAAACCAAGAAGGTATCTATAGTTATATATTTTTAAATTATATAAGCAATCTACAATTAATAAATAATAAAAACATTTTGCAACCATAATAACAAGATATTCTTTAACTTTACACCAGACATTCCAAAACTATAAAACGCTGAAACCAATAATTGAAGCAAAGAGCTTTTAACTTTTTTTTTTAAACCTTTCGTTTCCTTCCTGGTTATACTTTTTTAAACGATTTTCCAGGAATACCTATGCAGCGACAACAGCAAAAACGGTTTACTGTTTTACGTTTATATTTTATCCATCTCTGTAAGTGTGCAAAAAAAACAAAACAACGGAAAGTTTCTTCATGTAGTTGACGGTATACTTAGAATGGGCAAATTGACCTTTAATTTGGGTTTCATATACAAAACACGAGACATAAATTAGGAGTGCCATGTACACACACAAAAAAAAAAAAAATTTGAGCATCATAATATCCATAAACTGAAACTGGTGCTAAATTTACCAGATCATCATTTTTAGTGCCGACTTTCAGTTATTTCGGAAGCTTACGGGAAAACAAAAACATCCCCTATCTAAACTGTACGTCACTTCTATTCGACTGTGTTTTTCGAATATCGCCATCCAGTTTTGAAACCGCGCTTTACAGCAAAAAGATACATTCAGATATTTTAATGTTAATACCTACAAATTTAAGAAAACTGCTGATTACTAAATCCGTGTATATTCAAGCAAACACGTGTCAACGAATTGGCGCGTATTTCTTTTAACAATAAAATGTGGATATAAATGTTATAAACGGCTGTAAAGTCATGTAATTTAAATCAGCAACAAAGTAAAACATACGAAAATATACTTACTTCTGACTTTAGGTATATTATGAGTATGACTGAACGACTGACTGAATGACTGATTCAGGTTCACGTTATTGTTGGCGATGTTCTGTTCCATGCTTTGCTGATGCTGTTGTTGCTGGAAGCTATGTGTTGTTGTTGTGTTCTTGCTGCCCCATCGTACAAGTGATAAAGCTTGCAACTTGTCCGCCTATCTTACGTGAAAGCATGGTGACTGACTCCCGTATCCAACTCTCGGCGACGCCTGTATATTCCAAAATGTATTCCGTTTTTGAAGCTAAGTCAATCGCGGTTTGGTTCCACGATGATTGGATTTGATGCAGGGCACAGTTGGCTAATAAATAACTGAATTAAACAAATATATCCAATTCGAATTTTGCCACTTCACAAAGTATCACACCCAAGTAATCCAGTGGATGATCTTGTTCCCCTGCAATGTTGGGTTTTAAAAAGTCTACACACGAGAATCACTAGCTGAGACTGAAGAACCACGTACTATACGAGGACGTTTATCGAGGGCTAACTACAGCGACGACGAGTGGTGGCTCTGACGCGTCAGGGTTTGCGCATGGAGTTTGTTTTCACGCGGCTCCGCTGACGTAGCCACATTAGATTAGCTGAAGAATTACTCCGCGCTCAAGCCCGCCCATTTTGGACGCCAGCCATGTTTCTATAATTTCTTGGTTTTGTTTTCTTTCTCTTTAGCCCAGCAACACAGATAATTTCGTGTTTGGACTGATCGCAAAATATTGATTGCAGTAGTTTAAAACATTTTTCAATTAAAGCTACTGCAGGTTAAACTAAATGCTCGGCGGAGGGTTTGTCTGGGCCTCAGCACGCACTGCGAAAAGACATTCATGAGATGCCTCGCATCCCCAACGAATCCTCGCCCTTCCTACGCTGCGCCCCTACCCCGGAACGCCATGCAAAGTAGGACGAAGCTGGGTCGGGGGCGGGGAATTTCTCATCAGGGTGGCTAGGGGTTCCACCAGTCCATCCCTCCCATGGCGTTGTGTAATACAACACTGCTTGTGAGAAAAGCGGAAGGGTTGGGAACGCCAGCTACACCTTTCCAGCCGCGTTTCTCGAGCCCGCCGTTGTCTGGGTTACTTTGTGCGTGCGATCGGGCATTGGGTGCAAGAGCGGCCCCGACACAGCACACCGACCGCCCCAGCTAGCAAGCACATCGTTTCAAGCCGTCGAAGCTTTTACGGGACAGAATCATAGTAAACTGGCTTTTGCAAAGAAACGGCCTGTAAGGAATGTTTTGGCTCGGGTTGAATGGCGTCCGTCGAAATGGCGGGGAAAATGCCACACACAAACTGAGAGAATATGGAGAGTATTTCAGATTTTCTGCTAGAATTCTACATTTGTCTATTTCTGCCCGCCTGGAAATATACTCAAATAGTGGACATGTCTTTCAATATGATAACTTTTCATATTTCATTAGTGAGTTATCATTTTAACGAGTGCATATCACTAAAAATGCTGAATAACGGAGAAAAGAAAGTGCAAAGGCGTGACTGTTTGAAAATACACCCTTCTTCTTTTTCTTCCTCTTTCTTTCCTCCTCGTCATTCCATATAAATTTTCTTATAATTATTACTAGTATTAGTATTATTCAATCGTTGTCCTTAAAAGAGTATTTCGCACGTAATGTCAGGGTCTACATTAAGGCTGAAATATATGTGTATTTTGGTTCAAAACATCCGATTTCAGCAAGCACTCAGTCACCTGAAATTCTTATGTTTTTTGAAGGACAGTTGATCTATTTCCCCACCTTGTGTTTTCAACTGGGGCCCTGGAACACCTCCACTTGTCATGTATCATATCATTCAGTGCACTTAAACATATTTAAGATAGTTAAACCCCATAGAAGATTTGTACACACGGACATGCAGCAGCTAGTTCACGATATCCTCTCAGCAAGAAAGACAGATAATGCACATGAAAAGAGTATTTCGCACGTAATGTCAGGGTCTACATTAAGGCTGAAATATATGTGTATTTTGGTTCAAAACATCCGATTTCAGCAAGCACTCAGTCACCTGAAATTCTTATGTTTTTTGAAGGACAGTTGATCTATTTCCCCACCTTGTGTTTTCAACTGGGGCCCTGGAACACCTCCACTTGTCATGTATCATATCATTCAGTGCACTTAAACATATTTAAGATAGTTAAACCCCATAGAAGATTTGTACACACGGACATGCAGCAGCTAGTTCACGATATCCTCTCAGCAAGAAAGACAGAATAAGGAAAAGATAATGCACATGAAAAGAGTATTTCGCACGTAATGTCAGGGTCTACATTAAGGCTGAAATATATGTGTATTTTGGTTCAAAACATCCGATTTCAGCAAGCACTCAGAATCACCTGAAATGCACATGTTTTTTGAAGGACAGTTGATCTAACCTTGTGTTTTCAACTGGGGCCTGGAAACCTCCTTTTCAATGTGTTCATATCATCAGTGCACTTAATACATAAGATAGTTAAACCCCATAGAAGGATTTGTAACACACGGACCGTCTGTTCATTGATTTTATGTTAATGCACATAGCTGCAGTCTTTTCAAGTGTTCTGTCTACAGCATATTAAACCTAATGTGATAGATAGGTAACACCCGTCTGTATTGATTTTGTTGATACTGCAGTGTTCTGTGGGGCGATAGGTAAATGTAATTTTAAACTTGCGTGGGCGAATATGTGTATGTGTTGTGTGCGTGTGCGTGCGCGCGGGTGTGTGCGTGCGTGTGTGTGGTATGTGATTGTGTGTTCTACCGCTTTGAACACGCTATGAAAACGAATGCTGTTTCGAGATAGGTGGAAATACAAATCTGTCTCCGCCCGACGACCTGTTGAGTTGGCAAAGTGGGGGCGGAGGAAAAGCGAGCAGCCGACGAAGCTGTTGTTGTGTGTTTGAAGCTGGTATTGCAATTTCTGGTGATCCTGATGATGATGTTGTTGACAAAAATTCCGCGAGAATGGTGATTTTTGCAGAATGTTGGTTGTTAGTCACCCTCGCCACCGCAGAAGTCTGTGATTTCACTCCCTCCGTATGGCACACGCTAACATTATCGTCTGGATATGGAAAGACGGAAAGGTGCCAACAAAAGAAAGGGTTTTAGAAATGTACCCCCAATGCCATAAAGGAAAACCACACACATACACACACACACATTGTATATATATATATATATATATATATATATATATATATATATATATATATATATATATATATATATATATATATAAATGCATATATATATATATATATATATATATATTTATATATAAATATATGGTCCTTTTCACGTTTCTCGGCCCATATACACACTTTCTCAGCCTGGTCTAGGTCAAAGGGGTGTCACGTTGTACTACTTCCTTCGAAGGGAGTCTCTCGTGAGACTTAAGCTCAGGCTGTGGGTAGAGGGGTTTGAGTTAGGGCCAGTTCTAGATGTTCCGGGGTCGTTAAAAAGCTGTGTCGTTGTGGAGTATATGAAACGCAACATCGGCGCTGATGTAATCTGAGGCAAGACAACGTGACAACCCTCTGTCGTAGGACAGTCTGAGAAAGTATTAATGAAAGGTTAACCAGTGTATAGATGGCCGGAAAACGCGAACACGACTACACATACACTTACATACACATATATATCCTCCTTGTAAGGCGGTCTACTTCTGGCTATAAAAGATTGTAGATTCCCCTTCAAACACTCTTCGCCAATGTAGGTGTTTATGCGATCCCTAGGGATAACCGTGAGCTAGACCTTCCTACTTTTTACGATGCTCTTGGCAGCGATTAAGCTTTCACGCTAAGACGATTACGTGACATGGGAGTTAAAACATGATGAAGCACGTCTAATATGCCTTCGAGGCCGAGATAGGAGACATTATAGCTAGCTCCTCGTGGAAGCAGTCAGTAGAGGTGCCTTGGCGTGGCTGCTGCATGGGAGGACTGAGCACACCTACCAAATGTGCAGTGACGTCGAATGTGATAATATAATATAATATAATATAACCCGAGAGAGACGAAACCAAAAGGAATAGTTTCAGGTGCAAAGGAATCGATCACCCTCGCCTATATAGAAACACGTAGTCGTATATAAAGTTGTCTAGTTGTTTACTGTATAAGAGGTCGAAATGGCTTG